ACTCTCCCAAATACTGTATGGACTAGAGGATCCTAATGCATGAAACCATTATGTGTGATAATCTAATTAAGGGCACTAAGACACCCCCCCCACTCCCTTAAAAGAATTTAAATAATCACACTTCCACTTCAGTGCAAAACTGAAGCATCAACTATTTTCTCCAAGACAATATGTTAAATCTTTCCTTTCGAATTACACAGGAATTCTTCATCTTTTAATTATTTATCTAGAATTTCTATCTTTCAGTTTCCCATTATATACTTTCCTATGACCACCCACTGGCAAGAATTTCACTCCTGACTAAGTGAAGTCACATAAATTGTGGTGACAAACAGCAGCTAATTAATAAGGCTTTGGTTATAGACCTGACCACAGGGTTTTATGCACCTGGGTGCACAAGCAGGTACACAATCAGCACCTTGTTCTGCAGCTACAATTCACCATGACATAAGCTATTACTCTGGAGTAAAATTCCACCAGAATTCTAGCCACTGTGTCATTAATCCAAAGCCAATGTATTTTAACTTCATTAATAAAACTGTAATGTTTTTGAAAATATTTTCCAATAAGCAATACAGTGGACCCTCTACTTAAAGAATTAATCCGTATTGGAACGGTGGCTGCAGGTCGAGGCTCCATTGAAAACTGATTAACCTGTAACTGGCCGTTTTTGTTCCATTTTTGTTCCATTTTGGTTTTTTTTCTGGTCTGTAGGTCGATTCTCCGGCTGCAAGTCAAAACTAAATTTTGCGGCCAGAGAAGTCTGTAACTCAAAAAGTCTGTTAAGCTGAGCCATCTGTAAGTCGAGGGTCCACTGTAAAACAATTTATTCACCAACATGATCTCTTCATCTAGAACTGTAGATATATGTCTGTTCTTTCTATTAGTGAGGGAGGCAAATTATGTTATTATGTTTTACCCAATCCCATGTGATTATTACTGTGTGTTTAGTAAGTAACAGATCAGCCTGAAATAGGGTGACCAGCCTAGAGTCACACTGTTAACTGAGGATTTCAACATGGATTGCCCAAGCCCCAGTCCAACATTCCAATTACAATATTACACCATGTTGAACAAAACAAACAAGAAAAGAACATCATTGTCCTCCATATCAATGGTGCAAGAGACATGGTCACATAGAGTGGTTTTCAAATTGGATTGTTATGCTCTGTTGCTTTTAAATGTGTTTTCAATATTGATTTTATTTACCATTTTTAACAATGATACTTGTTTAATTCTTTAAAAATATTTGTATACTTGCTGTTTTTAGCTTTTAAACATTTTTCTTTTAATAAGCTGCCTTCGGCCCTTTTAAGGAGAAAGATTGTGTAAAAATAAAGGAAGGAAGGAAGGAAGTGAGTCTGCTTAGAGGTTGGAGGCTCGTCCACCTGATCAGAATATACTGGGAAAGAACTGGAATTTTAGTAATTGGATTATTCTTAATATTTGTTTCAAGGTCTACCTGATTATGAGTACCTGATAACTGCCATTGATGTAGATTGTTTCCTTACAAAACCACTGGGACTAGATCCAAAAGTTTCTTGTGCAGTCAGATACAGAAGTACTTCATAGATTTCAGGTAGAAGGTTCACTGACATTTTCATCAAGAGAGAGCACCTATCCCCCACTTAAGAGTTATCATGGCACAGATACAAGGAGAATAATGGATTGTTAAGTGTGCGGATTTTTTAAATGCAAGAAATCTAAAAATTGTATGCCTGCATCAAATCAAGGTAGCTCTTATCAGTCTACAAATCTGCTTCCTGGAACAGCCAATTACGTGCCATGGGTGAAACAGGACGAGGAGGTAACCATTTTCATTTGTTGTTTCCTTGCCTCTGTTCATTTGGATGGTGAACAGCTGTAGAAATCCTCCACATATTTCTCTTTTTATAACTGCTGATTTTAGCCTTTAAAGCTCTAAATAGCTTGAGATTAGCTTATCTATATACAGTATATAGCCTTCCTCAAAGCTTTATGATTGGCTTCCGATGTATTCTTCTCTCTTCATTTAACAAGGACAAATCGGATAGTATGGAGGAATAAGATAAGACCTCTTCTGTAGTGGCCCCATCACTTTAGAATTCTCTCCCCAAGGAGACATGTGTGATTCTGCTGCTGCTGCTGCTTTTTAGAAGCACTCAGAATAATTTTATTCTATTTGGTTTAGGACTTAATTTGGGGTTGTTTTCATACAAACACAGGGAACCTCTTTCAGGTTTTTCACTGGAGATTAAATTCAGATTGAGAGGAGATGAAGTCATTCCTGCAATGGACAAAAGGAGAGAACAAAAATATTGTAACTTAAATCTCAAATTGCTAGTAATGAAGTTTTTCAGACTTTTGGAATGTGGGGGAACATTAAAAAGCTAGGAAACTACCCAATGATGGTATCATGGAGAATGGTTACAGTAAAACTTTAAAATATATAGCAGTTTTCTAGGATGTGAATTTTTGTTGTTTAGTCATTAAGTTGTGTCTGACTGTTCGTGACCCCATGGACCAGAGCACGGCAGGCCCTCCTGTCTTCCACTGCCTCCCAGAGTTTGGTCAATTTTATGTTGGTAGCTTCTATGACACTGTCCAACCATCTCATCCTCTAACTTCTCCTTTTGCCCTCACACTTGCCCAACATCAGGATCTTTTCCAGGGAGTCTACTTCTCATGAGATGGCCAAAGTATCGGAGCCTCAGCTTCAGGATCTGTCCTTCCAGTGAGCACTCAAGGCTGATTTCGTTCTAAATGGATTGGTCTATTCTCCTTGCAGTCCAGGGGATTCTCAAGACTCTCCTCCAGCCCCACAATTCAAAAGCATCAATTCTTCAGCGGTCAGCCTTCTTTACGGTCCAGCTCTCTTTTCCAGGGGGTCTTCTCTTCTCATGAGATGGCCAAAGTATCGGAGCCTCAGCTTCAGGATCTGTCCTTCCAATGAGCGCTCCGGGTTTATTTCCTTCAGAATGGATAGATTTGTTCTCCTTGCAGTCCAAGGGACTCTCAAGTCTCCTCCAGCACCACAGTTCAAAAGCATCAGTTCTTCAGCTGTTGGCCTTCTTTATGATCCGGCTCATCTTGTCTATTTTACGTGTGTGTGTGTGTGGGGGGGTTAATTGCTATTGATTACTGCCAGCTGTTCTGTGAAAGAAGACTCCAAAGGGCGAGATATCAAACCTAATGGTGAATTCTATTAGTAAATCAAAGGGTGTGGGGAAAAGTTATTTTCATCAGTACTGAGTCTGTTGCCAGCTAGGCGACCTCCATGTTTGAATTATTATGTGGGAACATCAGTTGTCCTTAACAGTCATTTAAGCTCCTGAACATGTTTGTTTCTTTGTGACAGGAAAAATATGCACAAGATTTTTGTGAGCAATTTTCAAAAAGAAGCTTTTCCCAGCATTTTGCTTACTGGATGGGTAGGATGACTGGCGCATTTGTTCAGATCTTTGTTTTGAGACCAGTCCTGAGTCATGCCAGTTGTTTGCAAGGGTCTGATAGCAAAGTCTGTGCATAGGGGAGACGTGGGTGAAGAAGACGGTCCTGTTGAGTGCCTAGGATGCCCGCAGGTGCTCCAACCAGTAGTTTGGGTAGCACCAGGGCAGGAGTCTGACCCAGAGCACAACTCAGGGATTCCCACGTTCAAGGCGGCAAGCCTGGTTCACCCCTTGGAGTGCGTGGGCTGGCGCCTTAGTCTGAGTAACCTTGACCTCTCCGCTGCCGCCGCCGAGACGTCTTCCCGCAGAAAGCACCTGCTCCGGTGCTTGTGGCACCCCAGGATCCAGATGGCACGAAATGACCTCATTCTAGGTTTCGGCTTCTTCGTGACTGAAGCGGCAGCCGAGGAGAACACGTGAAATGCCAGCCCTGGCGGAGTCTGAAGGCGGCAGTTCCGCTGAAGGCCGGGAGCCCTTTCAGTCGTTCACAACCCCCACCCGAGGGCACAGGGGCAAGGCTCCCCTTTCCGCGCCTTCTGAGGAGACTCCTGTTTTTTTTAACCCTCCGAAGTCGGAGCGGCTGAGGGGACGGGGGAGGGGGGCGCCGGCCGTCGCGTGGCGTCGCGTCTGGGCAGCCCAGACGCGGCGCAAAAATAAGGCCTCTGCGCCCCGCTGGAGCGGCGCCAGGAGCAGCGTTGCGCTCCTTCGCTCTCTTCCCAGCTTTTCCCGTCGGGGGTGGGGGTCCCTCCTCGGAGGGGGGGGCTCTTCTGCTGAGGGAGACTTCCGGAGACGGGCTGAAGGCCAGCGATTAGAACGGAACAATTAGAGGAGTCCAGAGAGCCGAAGCTCCCGACGGAGGCGTGCGCCTGCGCGCCTCCCGCGCCGTCTCATATACACGCGCGCACTGGCCTCCGCTCCCTTTCTCTTCGGCAGCGGCGTCGCTGGTAGCAGCGAGGAGGAGGAGGAGGAAGAGGAAGGCGGGAAGGGCTGAGGGGGGCAAGTCAGAAGCCGGAGGAGGGCGCTGGCACCGGGCTTTTGCGCCGGGCGCTTGCCTTTCCCTTTCCCCTCGCTTTTCCTGCATGGAAGCGCTGCTTCTTGGCCAAACGTCTTGGGATTTAACCCGCCCGGAAAGGGCGGCGGGGAGCTGAGAAGCGGCGGCGAGCTCCGCGGAGGCTCCCGGGACTGAAATGCTACAACTGCGGGTGGCGGTTCTCGACGCAAGAAGTTGCCTCGCATCCCCGGCGCCGCCGACCTGGCCGAGGCTCCTCCTGTAAACCGGAGACGAGAGATGCTGCAAGGCACGGCGCCGCTCGCATCCGCGTCTGGTTCCCGGCTGCCAACCGAAGAAAGCTCCTGGGAGCGAAGAGAGCCTCTGTGTCTGTGAGAAGGAGGGAAGGCATCGGAGGAAGGAAGCCAGCCAGCCACCGCCGGCGATTCTGGATCCCTTTCTGGACCTACCGAGGCGCTGCTGCTGCTGTTGCTGCCGCCGCCGCCGCCACGGGCAGCGGCGATTGGGAGCTGGCGTGGTGGGGAAAAGCGTCGCCTTCCCCGGCTGGGATCCGCGGAGCCGCAGCGTTGGCTTACTGGATGTGTATGAATGAGTTCTGCACCGAATGGGCGCAAGAAGCGCCCCAGGTCCACGGGCTCCATCTTCCAGATCAGCAAAACGCCGCTGCACGGCAGGGACTGTGATCGCAGAGGCAGCGCCTCGGACGGCGCCCCGAAGAGCCAGAGACTGGCCCTGGACGAGTGCAAGATGGTGGGTAGGAGAAGAAGAAAAAAAACAACCACAACAACAACAACAAATACCCGCAACTGTTTCATTTCCCCCCACTTCTACCTCCCCTGTTTCTTTCTGGCCCTGCTCGCTGTAGGGACCCCTCCTCGCCTCTCCCCCCCCCCAATTTCTTCTTCTCGTTCGCCTTGCCTATTCTGATCACGTGCAGTTGCACTATTTTTAAAACTGCAGTCCGCATTTGAGTTGACACCCTTTTTTTTGCTCGAGTCGCGGCGGCTTAAAAGACAAGCGACCTGCTAGCCTGGGGAGTATCGGGATCGGTCTCCTTTTCTGAGCTCTAGCCGAGTATGGCCATTATTTGTAGAGATCCTGGGACTTGTGGTGCGACGGGGTTTTGGGGGGGGGAAGGCAGAGATGGCTTTAGGGCCCGGGTTTATGCCAAGAACTACCATCAAAGTAGGGGACAAGATTTTAGCCCCCTGCAGGGCGGAGAAATAGTCTAGACCCCATGCATGTAGTGGGCCTGTGCAGCACCAATCCAGGTCAAGCATCAGGTGCAGATAAACATTCTTCACTTGCTAAATAGGAAACAGGTGACTGTGTGTGTGTGCATGCGCGCATGTGGCAATAGGCATCCTTTATCCCACCACTAATCTGACACATCCCCACTTCATCACAGCTCACGAAGGCAAAGGTTGGCATCTGTTGGCTGGGTTTTTTTTTTCTGGATTCTGTCAGTCTAAGAACTGTCTCATTCTCATTTCCGTTTTGCGGATAAGCAAGAAGTAAATCTGCCCTGAGTAAATCTGCTCTCCCCAAATCCTCATTCCGATAAACTTGTGGACTTCTGAAAACTCCAACCATCTGGGTTTTTTTTCCCCACTGGGGTTGCTATCTCATAGATTTCAATCAACTTCATTTCAGCACATCGGGTTTGCCCTTCTTAATGAGTTATGTCAGTGAGCTGTGAAGAAATGATGGTTTTTGCATCGCCCTCCCCAGATTTCGATGTTATGCAGCATTAGGGAAGAAATTTAAAATGCACTAATGTTATGTTACAGAGCAAAAATCTTCCATTCTTTTCTCATCCGCTTTTTTTATGGCATTGCTCTCTTTTTGGGCTTTCCTCTTTCTCTCTTATTGCTTCTAGTGAGAGTATCTACACATAATATTCATGTCTTTTCTTAAAAATCAGATCTAGACATCAATTAGAAATGAAACCCTTGTTACATAGAACATTAAGGCTGCAGTCTAACTTAATAGGCCCCACGGAATACAGTGGGCGTTATTTCTGAATAAACATGCATACAGCTTCATTCTGACTCTGACAAAAATCTGGAGGTTTTTCCTTAGACCTGAACTTGTAAACAGTAAAAAACATTTGAATAGAGTTGAAGATGATTTGATTCTTCATAGATGAACTAGAGGAGTTGTTTATATGATCCAAGTAGCCTAGGCTCAGTTGTAGGCCTGCTTTCTTGTATACATACATTGTGGTGGGTTCTCCATATGTCAAATAGCACCGAAAGGATCTGCATGGAAATCTTATTTGGGGGAAGGGATACTTTATATCAGGATGAGAAAATACCAGTGTCCTTATTGGTTTGGCCCTGGAATAAGCATCTTTTGTCCAGCAGCAACTCTGAAGAGGCCTCGTTTAAGTAGTGTACACTACATAATTCATATGATATAGCACAATTTCAACGTACTTTCCACTCTTCCGTCCAGTGCTGTGGTTAGACTGTTGCACTTACTATGAAGGTCTATTATTACAGTCCTGTACAGTACTTGTTTACTTTGAAGTACATTTCCATGAAGTTTAGAAAGCTTATTCCCGTGGGAGTGCAGCCTGGTCCTTGACATTCTTATCCTCATTTGTGGAAAAATCTGAATTGATCCTTCAAAGATCTCAAAATACAAACTATACAACTATGAGTTTTGAAAAGTGATTGAGCAGAGGGTTTTGTTACTGTTGTTGTTAGCATCCTTGTTTCAGTTTTAGCATTTTAAAAAAAATCTGCATTTTTCCTGTAACTATGAAGTGTAACAGTTTTTGAAAAATTTCAAGAAGGAAACCAAGAATTCATAGTGCTCTCTTCAGACCCTGTCAGGTTCCCAGAAGAGCTGTTAAGAACAAGTTAACAAATCAAGTCTTACACAACCTATCAAATGCATGTTTTCTTTATTAAGGCCAGAAGATCTTTAGGTTTGAAGAGAAAGACATGCAATATTATTTTTTCACTCCACAACATTTCCACACAATAATCCCTTGAGATCTGAACATATTGGGTAGATAATCCCATCATGTAGTAAATCCTTGTAAATTTTGTGAGCAACAGTCAAAAATTGTGCTAGTACATGGTACGTGTTGTATTGTTATGAGCTAATAACAATTTGTACAAAAGAAGTACTGTAGAATTGATAATATTATTTGGGATTTATGGCCCATCGTATGGAATTGTAACCATCTGAGATATAGTTTTCTGATTAATTTAGGTTCCACATGACTAAGATGAAACTGGAAGAAATTTTTGTTTTCTGTTTTATGATCGTCTGAGCATTGAAGTTAAACCTTGAGCAAATCTGTCAGGATCTAAATTGTTCCTTCCTTCCCCCAAGGAAACTTTGTGAAAAAAGCTGTTAAAGTTTTTTTTTGTTCCAATCCCTGGGCACATTCATTTTATGGGCACAAAATGAAGATTTGGTCAAATATTAGCCAGGTAACTATTTTTTCCATAGGTGTGAAGATGGATTTTCTAATACCGTGTTGGTTTGATGTAATGGGTGTGGGTGTGCGCGCATGCATGCATGTCTGTTTTATTTTATACCAGTCAGACTGCTTTCAGGAATACCAAGTGGTGATGACTTTTTCTAATATACATGTATGTTATTAGCCAATAAGTTCAAATTCCTGAATGTATTGAGAACCGTGGTAAAAACAGAAGGAAAATACTGTCAGAATCCAAACAAACAGTCTCCAGTACATTTCACTCCCTAGATGGGCAGCAAATGGTAGTTCAGGGGTTAAAAAAAAGGAGGAAACTATTTCTGGAAATGTCATCCCTTTTTAAATGATAAAATAATCCCTTGCTTCCAGAAGAAGAAGAGCTGTTGTTTGTACTGCTGTAACATTTAAGAACACATGCAGAGGTTTAGAGTTTGTAGAATATTTTATTTTCCCACTGAGAATGTGTACTCTGTGTGTACAGAGGGCAGCAGTATGACCATTTATGTCATCATCGAGGCTGATCTTTGTCCTGTTTAGAATTCAAGAGTATATGCTCAAGTCTTGGTGGAAATGTGTGTTTTTTTTAAAATCTTTTTGTTTTATCTTACAGTGTAGTGGATTCTTTTTAATGTTAGTAAGTAGCTTTCCGTTTTATTTTATCTTGCAGCTTGTCCAGGATTTCAACACCCAGGTGGCCCTGTATCGCGAGTTGGTCATTTCCATTGGAGATGTCTCGGTCAGCTGTCTATCCTTACGTGCTGAAATGCAAAAAACCCGAACCAAAGGATGTGAGATCGCTTATCAGGCACACCAAAAGCTCTCAGCAATCTCTGGGTAGGAGCTTCTTTCTCATCCCTCCCTCCCCCCTCAATCTCAATTTCCGGTCCTTGTACAGTGGGGTCTTGACTTGAGAACTTAATTCGTATTGGAAGGCGGTTCTCAAGTCAAAAAGTTCTCAGGTCAAATCTGCATTTCCCATAGGAATGCATTGAAAACCATTTGATCTGTATCTGCTCTTTTCCATCCATAGAAATTAATGGGAAGCTGCTATTCTGCCTTCGGCCACTAGAGGGGGATTTTTTATTTCTTTTTTTCTTAGGTCAAGAAAGGTTCAGGGAAGGCAGGGAAAATACAGTCCAGGCAGTCTGAAGACTCCCAATCCACTCTCTAAACGCTGGGAGGAGTGAGGAAGCAGACAGGCACCCTTTTCACTGCCCAACAGTTAACTGAAAGTTCAAATTTTGCACTTTCCCTGCCTCCCACGTGGTTTTTTTCCAGTTCTTAACTCAAATCTAAGTATGTAAGTCAAGTCAATATTTTCCTGTGAGAGTGGTTCTTAAGTCAAAATGTACTTAACTCAAGCCGTTCTTAAGTCAAGCCCCCACTGTACTGTACTGAATATGCTTCTAAAAATCAGTATTTTTATTTATTTTTTTGCCCAAGGCACAACAGAGGCGTCATTTATTGATTGATTGATTGATTGATTGATTGATTGATTGATTGATTGATTGATTGATTGATTGATTGATTGATTGATTGATATGCTGCCCATCTAGACACAGTCTACTCTGGGCGGCTCACAACTTAGACTGTGACATGTGTGGCATATATGTCTATTAGCATTTGATTCCACTTTTGACTTCTTTGATAGGTGTGATGACCAGACCTTAGAGTAAGCCTTAATTTTAAACAGTGGGATACATGAATGTGTACATTCTGTAGTGGTGAAGAGCCACACTGATTTTTTCCATTTTGTAGTAATATTCTGTGCTTCGATTGACTGAAGCCTGGCTTGTTTTGATGCTCTTCCTGCTCACCTAGTACTGCTGTGAATGAGAGAGAACAGTAAAACTGTGACCACCAAGGAGTCCTTACATATCCAAACTTTTGATATCGTACCTCTTTGAAGAAACACTAGGGATCTCTAAGCTACCATCCTTAGCCACCTCCTGAGCTACAGTTCCCAGAGTTGCTGGGAGAAAGCCGTCCCATTTAAACTAGCTCTGAATGGATATTTATGGATATTCCTAGTGTAGCTGGAGGTTGAATGGCTAGCTCAAGGTTAACCTAAGGTTGTTATTCTGAATTGATTAAGATAAAGACAAGTTTTGTTTTGTTTTTTAAAAAAAGTGGTATTAGATTGTAAGGGAGGTACCCTGACCATTGAGCAAAATCATTTGACCAAACTATGCATGCCTCTTAATGGATGTTTGCTATTCTCTTAACTAGAGGCTGTGGCAATGCAGGTAATGTAATTTGCTGCCAACCAGCTGTGCTTATGTTCCTTTTTAAAACAGCAGTTAAAGCTAAGAGAGACTCACATTAAACAAAATACAAGAAGCAATGCTTGTCTTTAAAAGACATTTCCTCCTTGGTACAGGTACAATCTGCACTTGTAAAACCTTCACCTTCATTTATGTACCAACCAGTTATATGACAGAATTGAAAGACATATAATTTGCCACACTTATTCATTTTAAAGATCAAAACATACAAGTACTGACTACACCTGCAAAAATGAGGATAAACATCTATTCTTTTGAAAGCTTATCACAGGTAAGTAGTAAGTATTCAATTTCTGCAGAAGATGCTTCATGCTCAATTACTATATTTCCTGTAAACATCTTGAGCTACATTTCCTGCTTTCATAAGTACCAGTAACAGAATTGCCATATATTTCCTTGTTAGTCTAGTTAGTGGGAATGAAGGCATACCACATCTGACCCTGTTCCAGACAGACTGGGAAAGCAATGTAAATATGGTGATATTGTGCCAAGAATGTGCCAAGAATGTGGAAGGGAGCGCACCTTGCAGAGTTAAATGAGCACTAAGTTGTTAGAACCATAATGTGTGCATGCTCTGTATGCCACCATTTACAAAACTGCATAAATTACAATGGCAATTGCCATCCAGATTTCATGTGAATCTTAGCTGTAAATTGGTGAAATATTTGGCAAGGAGGGGTCATTCATGGCAGTATGGTTTTGCATTCATTTTCTTACAGCTTTTCAGGTGATAACATGGACAAATTACAGTGGTGCCTCGCTTAACGAGCGCACCGTGTAACGACGAATCCGCATAGCGATCCCTTTTGCGGGATCGCTAATGCGGAGACATACCGACGGTCGCAATGCGCAAAACTCGCATAGCGACGATCGGTAAGCGTTTCGCTTACCGATCTTCGCTTTGCGATGCCCGCGGATCAGCTGTTAGGCGGTTCCAAAATGGCCACCGCGCCCTCCCCTCGCTTACCGAGGGCATGAAAATGGCTGCCGCTGTGGAGGAAACTTTGCTGAACGGTAAGTTTAGGGCCCATTGGAACGCATTAAACGATGTTTAATGCGTTCCAATGGGTTTTTACATTCCGTTTAGCGATGCTTTCACATAGCGAGGGTTAATCCGGAACGGATTAACCTCGCTATGCGAGGCACCAACTGCAGGTCATATTCTGTGCTTGTATAACTTTACATAGGTTAACTTTATGGTAGGAAACTGCAGGTTAGGCTTTCAGAAGAACCTGAAACTAATTCGTCTCAAGCAATAGTCAGATTCAAGAGGCAGTCCCTGTGATTTATACTGCAGTTTGCTACAGAAAGCAACTGTACCCCTCTGGATGACTAAGTCAGAGAGCCCATATATTGTTGGACAGCTTATTCAGCCTGTCCTAGCCATGTAGCCAATGGTGAACCCTGCAGTCTAGTAGCATATGGAAAGGAACACCTTCCGTTCATGGCCCAGACTCTAGATAGGTGTTAACTTATCTTAAGATTAATTGCTCTGTTTTCTTGTACACAAACGAAAAAAATGTGTTCTTCAGAAAGCCAGTATTTTCTGACTTGTAGTTTTGGAAATCCACATTCGGAAATGGGGAATAATTTGTGTTGCGAGGATACTGAGACTTTGCAACCGAGATCAGTTCTCTCTGTCCTAGAAATCTTGCCTGTCTATCACAGATAACAGGGAACAAGTACATACCATGTGCTTTGAAGCACTGTTATACCCACCTCGCATTTTCTAAGAGTATAGCTTTCAAAACAAATATGAAATAGAGAAATAAGTTTGGGCTAGGTCTTCTGTACCCAGACAATATGATTGCTTTTTGTATAGATTGGAGTAAAACAATGATGTCTAGGACATTTTAGAGGGAAGTAAGCTGTTAATGGCAGCTTACACTAAAGGCAACTTAATTGTAAAAGGCACATCTGTGCTTTCCGTTGGCATTTAACACAATGTGGATAAGCTAGAGATCTGAACAATCTTTGTCAAGATATGTGAAAGTGGAATGAGCATAAAAACATGACCTAGCAAGAGAGTTGGGAGATGGGCTGGGGAAAGAAAGGAGGGGACTTTTCAAAATAAGTCAGCATCTTATAGCTGCTTCATAATCCTCAGCTTCTAGACCATCATAGCAGGGGTAAGGGGAGGAGAGAGAACAGTGTTTGGAGAACTGCAGCCAATATATTTAATGTGGTTGTAGTTTAGAGATGACTATCAGTCTAGTTTCCTCTCACATTTAGTTTTTTTAAAATTTCAAATTATTTTTGCCCTGTTTGTGAACACATTTGGATATTTTGATTCTTATAAGAACATACAGAACAAATTCTTGATTGTCCAAATTCAACAGGTCCAAAATTAGATTGTCTTTTAGGAGCCTCATGGTGCAGTAGTTAAACTGCAGTACTGCAGTGAACTCTCTGCTCACAACCTGAGTTCAATCCTGATGGGCTCAGGCAACTGGTTCAAGGTAGACTCAGCCTTTCATTCTTCCCAGGTAAATAAATTGAGTTCCCAGATCACTGAGGGAGCAATGTGTTGCCTGAAGAATTATAAACCATGCAGACAGTGTTTTAAGTGCTTTGGGGTAGTACACTTTGTACTGCCTGCCATGTAATTATTAGATATGAGGAGTCTGTCAAAAACTGAGGTTCAAACCTTACTTGAGCACCACAGACATGGTTGAATGTATAAAGAACAAGGTAACCAAAGTCTAGAATTGCAATCTGTCCATTTCTCTTTCTGTCGTGTAAATGTTTTATTGTTAAATCTCAACTGCATTGCATTTAAGAAAAAATATGCAAATTCTGGAAAGTTCTTATAAACATCTTGTCTAAGTAAACTGTTCACTTGTCCTTGGATTTGTTTTTGTTATGGTCTTACACACTGGTCAAAATTCTCTTGTGTTGCTATATAAGTAGCATAACTTTTAGAGGTAAATTGCCTTGAGTTAAGAAATTACTGTAAATATGATCAATTGCACACTGAGTCACAGAGCTCGGTATGTGACAGATAATGTCTGCAATGATTGCTTAATTTAAGGCAATTTGCTTTTAAAGGTCACACTACAGTATTTGCATTATACCCATGTAAGTAGGCAAGAAAATGTGGACCAATATGATTATACAAAGGCTGAAAAGTTTGATCATTAAAGGGTTAAATCATCCTTGTAGACCACTTCCCTAACATAGTAGAAATTGTACTACATTGTTCCTGGTAGAACAAAGCAAAATTTCTTCAGAGTGGTCAAGTAATTTTGTCACACACTTCCAGAACCATAATACAGCCTTTCAAGAGTGAGCTGATGCTTTAGCACTGAGAAGACAAAGAGATACATTTTTATCATCAAACTGTTATTGTTATACACTGGCAACACTTTCATTTGCTTCTGGCACCTGCTGGAGGCTCTTACAATCAGTTTAGTAATTGGCATTATATATATATATATAGTATCCTTCAAAAATGCAGAAAATTAAGAAACTGGGGCATTTGGGGAAAAAGAAATGTAAAATCACAGAAACTGAGGTGTGTCTGTGTGGAACAAAAAGAGAAGGGTTGTC